GCATCACGCAGCTTGCTAGAAACACACTGCTTGGGGCTCGCGCTGGCGAGAAGTTCTTCGATAGCTGAAGGCCGCACTCGAAAGACTGCTTCTCAGCTTCGCTGGACTGGACGCCTCTGATAGCTGCTGCCTTGGCTGAGCAGTCAGCGGCGTCGTTGCCTTCTGCCAGCTTCCGAGCCTCGCTTCCTGCAAGCAGGGCTTGCGTGTCAGGGTGGGCGTTCACCTTTTGCAGGCGCAGCCTCAAAGGAAAGAGCCCTTTACCAGTCAACACCTGAAACCCAGCCCGCAAGTTACGTCTAGAGTTTTCCTTTCGGGCGTGCAGCTGGAGTACGCCTCGTCAGACTAAATGACATGGACAGAACTAGCCATGGTGCTGACTGCAACTGCTGCAAGGTGCTCGGCCGCGCCCGAGGTCTGCGAAAACATGTTGTCAACACGGCCGCTGAAATGAACAGCAATTCGTTGCCTCGGATACAGACAACGCCAAACCCAGCAGCGATAAACACATGGTGCTCGAGTTGCGTGCAGCTGCATATATGAAAATGCCCCCTTCGCTAAACGCTGCGGCTCGTGTTAAATCGGCCTGCGCGCAACAAAACTACCCCAAATCCAGGCCCGTCCCAGGAGGAGAGCCCCCTTCGAAATCAGGCACGGACTGAAAACCAATGTGCAGAGGGGATTCCTGGGAGTGGGGGTCGCGCAGCCCCTGAAGCTCCGTTTCCGAGAAGTGGGTGGCTCTCATGTTTTCAGTCTTGGGGCAGTGGAGCATGCGGTCGCAGGTCGTTTGAATGTTGCTCGCACTCGCAACCTGGCTGCACATCATAGCCTGCCGCCGTGGTCCTTACCATGGTCCAGATGCTCTGGGTAAGGAATGTCAGCCAAGATCATTTTTCTGCTGATGTGGTAAGGTCTGGCGAGGCGATCATGCTCCTGGCGACATTGACGTCTTGAGCGGCATTTGTTCGCCGCCTTCGCGGCCAGCTGGGCGTGCCACTCCCCCTTCTGCTTCCTCTCTCAGATGTTCCCACAAGGGGCTTCACAACGGCACACCAGGAGCAGGGAGGGGGCAGAGGATAAGGAGGAGGGGGAGAAGGAGGAGCAGGTGTTCGACGTGTTTCAATTGCCGTCTGTTGTTGCATCGTATTTTCACATATTTCCTGAGGGGAGTGCAGTGTGCCAAATGCGTCTGAAAGGTTGTCGGAGGAGGGGGAGGGCGATCACGGGGCTTCAGCGTGCTTTTGGAGTTGTATGTGGCGCTGCGTGTGATTGGGAGGAAGATGTTTAAACAAGAGACCAGGAGAGGGATGGTGGCAAAGCAGGAGGATGGAAGTGCTGAGAAACGTGTGTAGGGAGTAGGGGCGATAAGATCTCGTGGTTGCTGCAGGGGGGGTAAGGGTTGGTGTCTCGGGCCGTCTTGGGCGTTCTGAAGCCAGAAGAAGCTAAGCGCACGTGCAGACGCAGCGTCACTTGCGCAAAAACGTGTGTCCATGTGCTTGCCGATTGGATCTGCTATCGAATTCGGGGCCCGACGGGATGGACGCGTTGCCGACGTCTGGGCCAGGCGCATCCTCAGCGAGGCCTCCAAACCCAACCAAAATCAATCCAGACCTCAGCCGCAAACACTCCCAAAACTTGTCATCCAAGTACGGTGAGGGCATTGGATGAGGAACCCTTGGATACGGAATCCGCCACCCTCATCAGATAAGGAATCCTCGAGGGTCTGAAGCCTCTTAGGCACACTCCTGAACCAACGCCCCCACCGTACCCCTGGGACCGACCGAATAGGCGGTGTTGGGCCTGGAGCAGAAAGGGAAGGTTGGAGAAGGCTGAGGTAATAGAAAAACAAACAACCACTTTAACATAAACTTTTGGCGCTCCGCGCGGATTTCTTGGAGCCGCGCTGGACCCCCCTCCCTGGCGTGCGGAAAGCGCCTGGGGCGGCGCCGGAGGGGCCGCCGGGGGGGGGGCCCAAGCGCGGATCCAAGAAATGCGCGCGGAGCGCCAAAAGTGTATGCTAATGCGGTTCCTTCTTCGCGATAAAAAGGGGCTCCCGAAACCACGCGGTGGCCTCCAAAATCCCCCGAGCCCGTCACCTCACGGGCATGGGGCCCCAGAGGCCTCCGTCGCACGAGACGCCCTCGGAGGGCGACCCGAGCCCCCAAAGATCGCGTGCTCACCCCGAATCCCTGCAGACTAACCTTAGGTCGGGCATGTCCCCCTACAGGCGGATTTGGGACGAAACATAAAACACACTTCCCATAAAAATCCCCCGGAAAGATTTTTCTTGTTTATAAAAAGAAGTCCCCGAAGTATCTTCTTAACTGTTTTTGAACACTCCTCCCGTAGAGGGACGTGCCCGACGTAAGACGGATAACCACACGGTGGCGTCACCACACCGCGCGGGGGCCCGGGGTGAGAGCGGGGTCCCCTCAGAGGCTCTGGCTCGCCGCCGGGGCCCGCCGCCGGGCCTTCTCCGCGAGCCGCCGCCGCACGGTCTGTGCGAAGCAGCGGTTGGCGAGCTTGCTGGTCGCGTAGGCCTGGAAGCGGCGGTGCTTCAGCTTCGACTCGTACAGCGGCCTCACGAGAGGATGCAGCAGGCACATACGATCCGAAATACTGCTACAAGAAATCTCGGGGCACCTTCCTCGTCGGGTGCCCTACACCCTGCGAAATGCTTAAGAAATCATGGGTTAAGAAATTCATAGTCTCAGAACTTGAGTAACAGCCCAACATTTACATCACAATCTTAAGATTTACATTGAAACGTTAAGAATAATCGAGACTCTGGCCGAAAACTTAAGTTTTCTTAAGCATCGCCTAAGGTGTAGGGCCTCTAGGGCTCTGTGGGCCATAGGGTGCCCTAGGGCCTCTGTGGGTGCCCTGGGGCCTCTGTGGGCTCCTGGGGCCATCAGGGGATAAAAGAGACTGCGGCGCGGCACCTGCTGGCAGGCCGGTTCCTTGAGATGCGCCTCCCGGAGAAAAAAAAGGGAGGAGGGTTTGGGGGGCCGCTGGGCTGTGAGGATGGCTCGGAGGTCTGTGCACGCAGTGCCTGCACACTCGCGCAAAAAAAGGGGGTTCCGACACGTGCGGCGAGGAGCTTGGGACGAGGATGATGCCATGATAAGATTGGCTCATAATGCGTTCCAGAATTTCCTGAATATTTAGCGGCCCTCGCTTCCGGGGCCCGTGAGAAATAGTTGGGGATCGGGGAAATCCTAGAAATCCTGATGATCTTGGGAACAGATCGTTATCATGACCTTTTGCTCCTCTGAGAGCTAGCCCTGGTCTCCGGCCAGGAGAGGGCTTCCGCTCGCCGCGGCCTTCGGCACCCCATGCCGTTCCACATGGACTGTTCTCGCCGTGGCCTTTGGAATCCCGTGGGATTCACATGCAATATCCTTTGCAGCCCCATGGGGGTTCACAAATGGGGCCCTCGGGCCCCCCATGTGGTTCCCAATGCCGTAGCCTTTATAGATCCTCATGGGTCTCCACGCGCACAGACGCATCGGGCCCCACAAACACACAAGTGGGTAACCTGGGCTTTCATACACACAAACACACACACACACACGCGTGGGGCTCCACAGATAGCGGGCTCCACACACAGACACACACACACACACAGACACACACGCACGCACGCACGCACGCACACACACACACACATATGGGATTCGACACCCTGTTCGTTTCAATATTTGTTTTTGTGACGCACGCGCTGGCATCATGATGCACGCGGAGGAGGAGAGAGGAAGGATTAGCGCTAGTCCGGCCTGGTCGAGTTCCCGAGTCAGGCAAGGCGACCATACACACTGGAACGCTACGAAGCATTAGCAGGCAGGCGGCAGCGCTTGAGCGCGCGTCCCGAATTACGCGTGCGCCGTATGCAACGATAGCATCACTGGGGCACTCGCGGGCCTCCTCAGAAGGCTCGGAAGGCCCCCCGGTCCCCTGAGAAGCTTCCTGAGCCTTCCCCGAAGGCGCAGAAAAAACTTCTCAGAAGGCGCGAGGGCCTCCGAGAAGTCCGGCCGCCGTCTGACGAGTCCCGCCGCCTTCCCAGAGGCTCTTCCTGGGCCTTCCGGGAAGGCTTCATACAGTCGGGGCGTTGGCCTAAGGAACCCTACATAAGGAACGAGGCCCCTTTTTTCCATAAGTTGAACTTCGATTCCGATCGGAAACATAAGGAAAACCTGAGGCAAGCTGCGAAACACTTAAGGAACGTGGAGCCCCTCCCCAACGAAAAGGGTTCCTTCTGCAGCGCCCCGACTGTAGAACATTTCTCAGGAGGCCGGGGGACTTACGAGCCTGCTGTGAAGGTCCGCCCCCTCTCACTCCCCCCCCCGGCTCGCCGCCGATCGCGGCGCGACGTGCGTATAGGAGAAGGACACGATGGCCGACCAGCTTCGCTGGACGAGCCACGCGTGCACCCAGGCCACGGAGCACCGCCAACACGATCGCGGCGGTTGATGGCCCCGTTTTCCACCACCACCACCACCATAAGTTGGAGGGGGAGGGGGTCCTCCTCCTCCTCCTCCTCCTCCTCCTCCTCCTCCTCCTTCTCTTCGTACTCCTCCTCCGCCTCCTCCTCTCCCTCCTTCTCCTCCCCCTCCAACTCATGGTGGTGGTGGTGGTGGAAAACAAGCCCATCAGTGGTGGCTCCGGCACTCGTGTGAGGAGCAAGCCGGCTCACTCCAGGGGCAGCTGGCCTCGGGTGCTGCGCGTGGCGACTCCAGGCAAGTTGCCCTCGAGGTCGGGCATCGAGCCTGGCCACCAGGCGCTGCCGTCTTCCTCCCCCTCGGACCACTGTGCTAGCGATGAGTACTGCTCGGGCGAGCAGCCGTGCGCACGGCCCCGCGCCCAACGCGCGGCGGAGGCAGAGGCTACCAGCAGCACCGCGCCTGCAACTGCGGAGAGCGCCGCTCCGCCTGCGCCAGCAGCGGGAAGGACGCCGCGCAGCTCAAAGAGCATGGTGCCATTGACGACCGACCCGTTGGAGCTGGCTCCCACTGTACCGATCGTGGAGTTCTCGGCCAGCGCCTCTCCTGAAAGGTTGGCCACAGCCGCAGACACGTTGGCGGACGCGTTGGGAGAAGTCAACTTTTTGATCAGACTGGCGCCGCCTGTGCCGTTCGCGGAGATGTTCCTGGCAAGCGCGCCCGGCGTGACGCCGGGTGCCCTCGCAGAGACATTGGCGGACACGTTCGTGGACGCGTTGGGAGAACTCCCGCTGCTGGAGCCCGTGTCAGCTGTGCCGTTGACCGTCGCGTTCATGGTTGCAGACACATTCCCCGGCGTGGCGTTGACCGCCGCTGCAGACACGTTCGCCTCTGCGTCGGATGTGCCCTTCAGCATCTCAGCGAACGCAATGTCGGCGCCAGAGGGCGAGCTGCTGGTAGCGCTGCTGCCGTTCTCGCTCCCAGCGGACACGTTCGTCGACGCCTGCAGAGAGCTTGCGTTACTGGCGTCAACTGTGCTATTGGTGGTCGCCGTCTCGTCCCGCATTTCCAACGTGACGTTAGCCAGGCCCGCGGACACGTACACGTTCAGACCGCTCGTGTTGCCTGAACCCGCGTCAGCCGTGCCACTTAGGGTAGCAGTCTCGGCCAGCGCCTCCGATGTGGCGTTATCGGGCCCAGCGGTCATGTTCGTGGACACGTTGAAAGAGCTTCTGTTGTTGAAACCAGCGCCAACTGTGCCATTTGAAATGGCGCCCTCGGCCGATGTCTCCAAAGTGAGTTTATCTGATCCCACAGACATGTTGGCAGACGCGTTGATAGAGCTCGCGTTACTGGATCCCGCGTCAGCTGTGCCGTTGACCGTCGCGTTATCGGCTGGCGTCCTCGGCGTGCCCTGAACAACCGCCACTGCAGACACATTCCCCGACGTGGCGTTGACCGCCGCTGCAGACACGTTCGCCTCTGCGTCGGATGTGCCCTTCAGCATCTCAGCGAACGCAGTGTCGGCTTCCGAGGGCGAGCTGCCATTGGCGCTGCTGCCGTTCCCGCTCCCGGCGGACACGTTCGCCGACGACTCTGGAGAGCTCCCGTTGCCGAGGCCGACGTCAAGCGTGCCGCTGGTGTTCGCGCGCCCGCTCCCCATCGCGCCTGCGCCCCTCGACGCGGACACCTTCGCCGACGCCTCCGTGGAACTCGCGTTGCCGTCGCCGACGTCGAGCGTGCCATTGGTGCTCGCGTTCCTCCCGCTCCCCCTCTTCGCCACCTTCCTCTGGGCAGTTTCTTAAGGTGGAGGGCTCAGGGTGAAGTCCGTATGGGCTCTTGCACCTCGACAATCACTCCGTCCTGTGATTCGCCCTTTGCAGATTCGGGCCTCGAAAATCCATCGAAACGGCATTTCAGGTTTCACCCTTTGCCCTCCACCCAAAGAAAATGCTCGGAATTCCTGGCCGTGCCGCTCGCCCCGGACGAGCCCGCGGCGCTGCCGCGCGCCGCCTCGGCGGGCCCGCTGGCGTTCGCCAGGCTGCCGTTCGACAGGTTGCCCTCGCCCGTCAGCGCCGCCATGGCCGCGATCGTCGCCGCACACCTCGGCCCGGCCTTCTCGCACACGACCTCGTCGAGGTCCGCGACGCTGCCCGAGTATGGGCCCTTCTTGGCCTTGGCCTGGATCACCTCGTCGACCCTGGCCTTATCCTGAGGGGGGAGCCACAACAACGGCACCGCTACCCCTAAAACAGGGCTAGGATCGGGATAAATCGCTCCAGAGCGTTCCGGAGCGCTCTCAGAGCGTTCCGGAACGCTCTGGAGCGGCCGCGGCGCCCAATACATCCTCCAAACCCGCCGATTCTCAGAGATTTCGAGCTATCCCGATCCGATTTTGTCCCGATCTTCGCGTCGTTTTAACCCCTTCCCCCCTCTGGCCTCTCCCGGTGGGCGGGTCCGGCTCCGGCGACGAGGGCCCTCCCGGGAGCCCCCCGGAGGGGCAAAAGGGCGACGGGAGGGCAGCGGCATCGCTGCACCTCTCCCCATCCTGCCCTGGACCCCGCCGACACGGGAGCCACGTGGCATCCAAGTGCCCGAGACAAGCAAAACAACACATTCGGGGATGGATGGACAGACCCCCCTTGAATAAAACGTGATTTAGTGAAAACGACCTGAGGCCCAAGCCTGGCGGGCGCAAGCCTGGAAAATAACGGCCACGAGAACCGAGAACGGACAATTCACTAATCGACGTGTCACTGTTGGGGGTTCTGTTCACCCCCGACACATCTTAGCCAGCGTGGACGGTGCAGGCTAGAGACCGCAACGGCACGGCAACGGGCGGCGACGTGGCGCGACTTCGCCAAATCCCCCCAGCGCGCGAAGGCGGCAGCGAGGCGGCAACGGGCCGGAGCGTGGCGAGGCTTCGCCGGACCAGCCCAACGCACGAGGCGGCAACGAGGCGGCACTGGGCGGCAACGTGGCGAGGCCTCGCCTAACCCACCCAGCGCACGAGGCGGCGACCACGCGGTGACAGGCGGCAGCGTGGCGACATCCCGCTGGACCCACCCAGCGCACGAGGCGGACAACGAGGTGGCAACGGGCGGGAACACGACGAAACCTCTCCAGAACCAACCAGCGCACGCGGCGACAACGATGCGGCAACGGGCGGGAACGTGGTGAAACCTCGGCAATGAGGCGGCAACGGGCGGCAACATGGCGAAACCTCGCTAGACCAACCCAGCGCACCAAAAAGCGGCCACGAGGCGGCACCGGGCGGGACCGTGGCGAAATCTCGCCCGAGCAACCCAGCGCACGAGGCGGCGACGGGCGGCAACGGGCGGCCACGTGGTGGCGAAACCTCGCACGACCCAGCCAGCGCACAAAGGCGGCAGCGAGGCGGCAACGGGCGGGAACGTGGTGACACCTCGGCAGGGCCACCCAGCGCACAAAGCACTTGGCCAGACCCAGCCAGCGCAAGAGGCACATGGCGGAACCTCCTCACGTTACCCACCCAGCGCACGAAGGCGGCAGCGAGGCGGCATTGGGCGGCAGCGTGGCGAGACCTCGATGGACACACCCACGGCACGAGGCGGTAACGAGGCGGCAGTGGGCAGCAACGTGGCGATACTTCGCCCGACCAGCCCAGCGCACGAGGAGGCAACGAGGCTGCAACAGGCAGCAACGTGGCAAAACCTCGCCTGACCCACACAATCCCTCGGAGAAACAAACAAAAAAAACTAGGCGCGGGCACTGTGTCGGCGGAAAGAAACTACCAAACCTCGAGCCGCAGATTTTTCTGCGCCGGTATTCGAGCCGCATCGATATGTGGTGGCACGGGGCCGAACATTCGACGAAAACGTCTGGTGTGAAACAACTGCACCGCTCGGATCTAGAAGCCTCCTGGAAAGGGTCGGGGTACATACCCGTGAAAAAAAGCTTGTAACAATCATGGCACAGAGATGGAACGCGAAACGATGTTGAAATAAAGTGGGCGGGGCCCGTCGCAATAACTGACATCCGCCGATGAATGGTACGGAATACCATATCGTCCTCTCTGCGCGGTACGTCTTCGTCATCCCACTGGGGAAACGAAACGGGCAGGCAGAACCTGGAAACGCCCATGCATGCGGCCCAGGCAAAGATTAACTTGAAAGAGCACCGGGGCATCATGTGGCATCCGCCTCTCAATGTTGTTACGGGGCGCGCAAACCACATTATGGTACATCGATGATCTGGCCCACGGTGCGCACCTGCGCATGCTGCCAACTCTGCAAGGCGAATCACACTGAATGATCATCCCGTGGGCGTGGCCGTTAGCATATGATTCAAGACGATCGTCTTGTGGATTTTGTTACTTGTTTCCCGGCTGTGAAGATTGGGTCGGAGGAACGCGCCGCATCGCCGATGCATCGCCGAGATATCGCCAATGCATCGGCGACGTCGGCGATGCATCGGCGCCATCGGCGTGAATAGCATCGGGTTCCACATCGATGCGCATTGCCGATGCATCGGCGATGCGGCGCGATCAGTCGACCCCATCTATTCGGACCCTTTCTCGAAGGCCTACATCAGAGAATTTGCAGATGCTAAGCTTAGAAATGGACAGTGTTGTAACTTACATGTCGACGTCTATTTCGCCAATAACTCGAAGAAAGACTTGTAAGTCCATAGCTGGTTCATGACTAGCCACAACGTTTCATAACGACCGTCTCTGCTCAATTTACAAAACTACGCCATAATCTTGTTTCACAACTATCTCGCTCTCGGTAACCCGGTACCGCCCGCTGTAATATCAAATTGTCATCCGGAGTCGAAACAGTGTTGGCCATCCCTCGACTCGCAATGACCAACAGGAACATCATCATTAGCATCATCGCCATCAGCATCACCATAAACAACATCATGAGCAAAAAAACATCATCATCAAAACCATCATCACCATCCCTCAGACTTACTCCTTCTGCGAGGATATTCATTGCTCACCCGTCTCGTTTGCCATTCGCCTCATCGCGACTGAACTATGCAAACGTTTTCCCCGCCCCTCCAACAGCAGCCCGCCTCCAGTTGTGACAGGATGTACTATTCAACTGGAAGTAGCGAGGTAGAGGCAGTGTAACACAAAGGGAAGGAGATGAAGATTGGGAAAATGAGAGAACCGAAATGGTGTCCGTGTGGTACCGAATGGCACTCGGTGGTACTCTGGATGGTACTCGGTGACACCTCTCTGACCGAACGTGGGTGGCACTTGCAATGTCCAGGGACGGTCCTCTGTTCTGAGTGGTGCTCGGGGTGGTACTCACTGTTTGGTGGAGTGTGGTGCCTGGTGGTACTCTGGATTTCCTATTCGAGAACTGTTGAGATCCTACGTTAACAGCACACTGCTGTGAAGAGTGCTCTTCTGTATCACCGCTCTCGCGCATTGCACGCACGATGCCAGGGCATGATGGAGGGGGAACGTGGATGCATCGGGCATCCTGGACGACGCGGATCGGGGACCGATGGAGGAGGGAGGTGGCGGAATGGGGGAAAGGGGGAGGGGCGATATGGGAAGGGTGCGCTCAAGCTGTTACCATGACGAATGCCAGAATGTTCTCACTCACACACGCGCTCGCTGCAAAAAGGAAAGGTGGCGGGCGGGGGGGGGAAGGTCCGATCACATTTTACACGCGTCGTGCATTATGCACTCTTGTCTCACCACAACCTGTCGTATTGCACATCATCGTCGAATTCTTGAAAATGTGTTACACCTAGGGTGTAGCTGTCTTCGCAACTTGGCAACTGGGTAGTAGGAGAGTTTTCGACTTATGCCCGTAACCCATAACATCGAGGGCGCGCCGCTGGATAACCCCAAAGGGGGGGGGAACCCCGTAAAAGCGCGAGAACGCCCTATAGGTCCGTTCCCGTTCCCGTTCCCGTTCCCGTTCCCGTTCCCGCTCCCGCTCCCGTTCCCGCTCCCGTTCCCGTTCCCGTTCCCGTTCCCGTTCCGTTCCCGCCCGGTCGCGTGCCCGTCTACCCCCCCTGCGCCTTCAAGCCGACCCAAGATACGCGAACGGGAACAGGAACGGCAAGCCTCCCACGGCCTCCCCTACTACTACTACTACTACTACTACTACTACTAATACTACTACTAATACTACTACTACTACTACTACTACTACTACTACTACTACTACTACTACCACTACCACTACTGCTACACTACTACTACGACCACTACTACTACTACTACTACTACTACTACTACTACTACTACTACTACTACTACTACTACTACTACTACTACTACTACTACTACTACTACTACTACTACTACTACTACTACTACTACTACGACCACGACCACGACGACCACGACGGGACGACGACGACGACGACGACGACGACGACGACGACGACGACGACGACGACGACGACGACGACGACGACGGGAACGGGAACGGGAACGGAACGGGAACGGGAACGGGAACGGGAACGGACCCCTGGGGCGTTCTCTTTTTTTCACGGGGGAACCCCCACCCACCCCCCCTTTCCTCGATCCGTCGTCGGGGACCCCCCCCCCCCCCCTTCCCCGATCCGTCGTCGGGGACCCCCTCCACCCCGCCCCCCCCTTCTGTCCGTCGTCGGACCCCCCCCCCCTCCCCCCCCCTTTCAAAAGGGGGGAAGGGGGGGTCCGAACCCCCCCCCCCACCACTCCTCCCCTTTGGCCGCACCCCCCCCCCTCCCCTCCTTTCGCCACGCCGCCCCCTGACTCCGGAACCCGACCCCCGCCACCCCTACCCCTAGTCCTCACCCTAACCCAAGCCCCTAGACCTAACCCCAACCACTAACCCCAGCCCCATAGAGCACTCACTACTCATTACTCACTACCCACTACTGGCTACTCGCCATTCGCTACTCACTTCCCACTACCCCCTACACACTACTCACGACTCACTACTCACTATCCACTACTCACTACCCACCACCCACTACTCGCTACTCACTACTCACTACTCACCACTCCCTCCTCCCTACTCACAACTCACTCCTCACTACCCACTACTCAATACTCACTACTCACTAAGCACTACTCACTACTCACTACTCACTACTCAGTAATCACTACTCATTACCCACTACCCACTATCCACTACTCACTAATCACTACTCACTACTCATTGCCCACAAATCACCACGCACTACCCACTACTCGCCACGCGCTACTCCCTACTCCCTACACAATACTGACTACGCAGTACTCAGTACTCACTACTCGCTACTCCCATGCTCGCTACTCAATACTCACTACTCACTCCCCGCTACTCACTGCTCATTACTCACTACTCCCTACCCACTAGTCACTACATAGTCTCCAGTCACTAGTCACAGGTCACTAGTCACTAGTCACGAGTCACTACTGACTACCCACTATTCACTACTCACTAACCGCTACTCGCTACCCACTATTCGCTACCCACGTCTTACTACTCACTGCTCACTACTCCCTACTCCCTACTCCCTACTCACTACTCACTACTCACTACTCACTACTCACTACTCGCTACTCCCTACTCGCTACTCACTAATCACTACCCACTACTCACTACTGACTACTCTCTACTCACTACTCACTACTCACTACGCCCTACTCGCTCCGCACTACTCACTACTCGCTACTCCCTACTCGCTAGTCACTACTCACTACCCACTGCCACTACCCACTACTCTCTATTCATCACTACTCACTACTCACTACTCACTACGCACTACGTACTACTCAATACTCAGTACTCACTACGCACTACTCACTACTCACTACTCGCTACTCACTACTCACTACTCACTACTCACTACTCACTACTCACTACTCACTACGCACTACGCACTACCCACTACTGACTACTCTCTAATCACTACTCGCCACCCACTACTCACTACCCACTACCCACTACCCACTACTCATAACTCCCTACTCCCTACTCAGTACTCACTACTCGCTACTCGCTACTCACTACTCACTACTCACTACTCGCCACTCACTACTCGCTGATCAGTACACACTACTCACTATTTACTACTCACTACTCCCGACTCCCTACTCCCCACTCCCTACTCGCCACTCACTACCCACTACTCACTACCCAATATTCACTACTCACTACGACGCACTACGCACTAACTCACTACTCACTACTCACCACTCCCTACTCCTAACTCCGTACTCCCTACACACCTTGTCCGGCGCAGAAACGAGAAGCGAGAGAGGCCCCCCCTCCCTGGTTCCCGTTCCGGCGCAAACGGTGGGAGGGGGGGGGGGGGAGGGGGGGTCCGGACCCCCTCCCCCCCCTTAAGGGGGGGAAGGGGGGGAGGGGGTTCGGATCCCCCCCCCCCAGGAAGGAGGGAGGGGAGGGGGGGTTCTGGACCCCGCCCCCCCCTTTTATGTATTCAGGAAGATCCACTGGCGCACTTTCCATAACATCGCTAGGAGGCATCTGACTCATGGTTATAACATGTATGAATGTTAACCATCAACATACATATATAATAGCTTACCTCAGTGGTATACGACTACTCTGGACATAGCATCCTCACAAACCAGGTCAGGCGACTTGTAAGCACTCTAGAGTTAGGATGCCCACACCTACGCATCGAGTGAGCCACAGAAGCCTCCTGCCTCCAATGCCTCTGAAGCAGGGCACCTCGGGGTCGGCATCGGAGGAGGAGGAGGAGGAGGAGGAGGAGGAGGAGGAGGAGGAGGAGGAGGAGGAGAGGGGAGGAGGAGGAGGAGGAGGAGGAGGAGGAGGGAGGAGGAGGAGGAGGAGGCGCTCCTCTCCCCCATTGCTGTCCTGGGCGTCGAGGACTTCCCCCGCGTCGGCGCCCTCCCCGGGGGGGCCCTCCAGCAGCCGCAGCTGCCCGGGAGCGCCGGCGCTCCACCTGCCGCAGGCGGCATCGATGCGGCCAGGGGTCCACGGCCGCTCGCCCAGCGACCGCTGCGCCTGCCTGCAGACCTTGGGAGAGGCACGGCAGACGAGAATGTACGATGGGAAGCCTTGCTATCAGAAATCGCAGGGCGCATTCTCCTCTGTGGGTCCAGCAGTGCCCCAGTGCTTCTGCGGGCCCCTGGGGCCATCGAGGGACCGTGGGACATCCGTTGGCGGGCCGGTTGCTTCTTGGGCGTGCATACGGTAAGAATGCAGACATCGCCCCGTCGCGAAGAAGCACGACGGGAGACTCTGCTCTCATCAGTGAGGGTCAGGGGGAAGTGCTAGATCAGGCAGGATATTGCCAAGTCTTGCGATGGTTGACCCCGCTTCTCAAGTGCCGCCCCAGACTGAACTACGCCAATTCGGGGCGATTGATCCTGGCTTACGTGCAGCACCGACAGGTGATTTCCGGCTGGTTGGCTCCGGGGGGCCCAGGGCTATCAAAAACCGGCTTGGTGTGCGAAGCTGGTCCCAGAAATGACGTCCAGACATCTGACAAGCCAAAGCTGGTCCCAGGGAAGGGTGTGCAAAGCTGGTGGTCCACGTCGTGAAAAAAAGGCGGCGGCGCAAAGTTGGGAACCACGCCAAGTTCACTTCGTGAAGACTCGCGCGCACGTTCAGGACACCGCGAGGACCGTTGGCTATCGGCCGATTCTGGGCCAGTTGCGGCGTTCCACCTTGGCCGCCTGCGCTGGAGCCGTTTCCGCGTCAACGCAGCGCGAACCTACCGCACTGTATACCCATACGCCGAACCTGACAAGACTCGCCCTGAGCCAAAGATCGGTGGATGCGCCCTCCTGCCCTGGTCAAGCAGCCGTACACACTGATCCCGGGCCCAGGATGGGCCTGGCAAGGCTGTTTGTGCTCGCGTGCGTGCCTGCGTGCGTGCGTGCGTGCGCGCGTTCGTGCGTGCTTGCGTGCGCGCGTGCGTGCGTGCGTGTGTTTGTGTGTGTGCGTATGTGCATGTGTGGGTTGTGTTTGTCTTGTGTATTGTTATGATGCGTGTATGTGCGTATGTTGTGGAATGTGTGCTTTGTGTGATTTTGCCTGGTCTGCCTAGTTGCGCTTGGCAGCGCTTGGTATTGCTTGGCGGTGCTTGTCTGAGCTTGTTTCGGCGCTGGGCGTGCACGTCGTGAATTTCTAATCGTGCTCATTTCTAATTGTTCTCGTTTCTAATTGTTCCTGGCCCCCTACTGGCCAGGAAGAGGCCCATGATAGAACAATTAGAAATGAAAGGATCTTGGCCCCCCAGAAAGTCAAACAACTCTCGAGTAGTTAGAGATGAGACATGTGTACCTGTGATTGCGTGTTCGTGTGCTCGTGCGTTGCGCGCGTAGCTCTCGTCGCCCGAGCCTCTGCGGGCAGCCGGGAGCGGCACAAGAGCGCCAAGCTCAGGTCGTCGTTGTCCGCCAGATCCTCGCCGGCCCGCCGCGACCAGAGAAGCCGTGCCCCTCTCCCGTCGCATCGCTGATCGTATCGACGATCTCTCGAGAGGAACGCCCCTGAGGCGCATGCGCACCTCTAACTTACCCGCAGCGCCGGCGGGTGCTCGGTGCGGTCGGAGCGGCGCACCCGGCAGCGGCATCGCAGATCGGCACCCGGACACTGCAGGGCACAGGGCACCCACGCAGGGGTCCTGTGCACCACCATCGGGCCTGGCTGGGACCCTCCTCGGCCCACGCCCTCCTACCGGGGGCTCGCGAACATGGATTCGCGATCCATGGATTTGGCGCGCGGTCGCCAGATCCGTGGATCGGGAGAGGCACCCTCCCCAAGTGCGGCTGGTGCCCTCTCGCTCGGCGGCGGAAGTCCGCGGTTTCCAGTGGAAACGGGACCCGACGCCAATCCACGCCCCCTGGATCCATGTTTGAGATCGCCTGGTCCTAGCCAAGGCCAGGGGTGCCCACCCCTCGTACCAGGGCTCAGGGGATCGCCCTGCCCGGCGGGGTGCTTCGGCGCACGAGGACGCGTGCCCTCTGCAGATATCGCGAAAAGGCGCCGAGGCCGAGGGGGTCCCCGAATTAAGGGGGCCCGGCCCCCGTCTCCAGGACCTGGTGAGCGTTTTTTTGTTTGTTTGCTTTTTTGTTTTATCCGGCGGTTCGACGTTGGGCGGAAGGTGATGATGCGACGAGCGGCTTCGCGAGGTGCGTGCTCGATGAGGGCTTGACAGATCGAGCAAAAGGGTGGAGGCGGCGGCGACAGCAGAGGGAGCTCCCGCCTGGCCGACCACCTCGATGCCGAAAGGGCGATCCGCAGGACTGCCCCCCAGCCTTCGGGAAGAGAGAACCGCGGAGCACACCTCCGGGGGCGAAGGGGGGGGATCTCGAGAGGGGGGTCTGGCTCCGGACCTCTGTGCAATGCGACTGTCTGCAACAGGGCGTCCATGATGGGGGAGGCTCCACCTGCTCGAAACAGGCACCAAAAAACAGCCAAGGTCCGCTCCAAAGGGGGGGGAAGGGTGGGGGTGCAAGGGCCCGCGCCGATCGGCAAAACAACGAATAAAAAAACGATCAACTCCCCCCGATCCGTTGTTTGACACTCTGGGGGGCCCAGTAAGGGCAGAGGCCGAAACTGGCAGCGGCAACGACAGCAAGGACGTAAAGGCCGTTCGCTTTTATAGATTGTGGATGCTCGCAAGTCTACCGTATACCCAAAACAGAGGCACCAGCCCTCTTCGTCTTCGGCCGCACCCCTTTTGAGATGTAAAGCTTCCTTGCCTGCCGCGTGCAGCTGGCTTGGCCCCAGAAACAGGAGGGCGATAGAGAAAGGAAAAAGGGAGAGAGCGAGGAAAGGAGGAGGAAGCGAGAAGAGACGACGGAGGGCAAGAGGGAGCGAGGAGGATCGAGGGCGAACAAGAATGCAAGCAGGAGGGGAGGAGAGAGAGAGAGAGAGAGAGACAGATGTTTGCGCCGGCGGCTGAGCAGAGCAACTGCGCCTGCGGAGAGCCACTTCAATGGATGTACCGCTGTAGCGAATCATGCCACAGTGCAACGGAGACGGGGACAGGACAGCAGAAACGGCCGAAGCAGGGGGGGGGGGGGAGAGGAGCGCGGCCGCGCAGGGGAGGAGGGAGAAGCCGGACGCCCGGCAGGGGGAGCGCACCGGGCAGCTCAGGCGGGGCGGACCCCAGGGGGGGGGGCCGGGCGGGCGGACTCCTCCCACGGGCAGGCTGGGCGGGCGGGGGAGGAAGGCGAGCGGGCGGGCTCACAGAGAAGCGAGCGGGCGGGCCCTCAAGGCAGGTCGGGCGGGCGGCGCCGGGTGGGCGGGCGGCCCGGGCGGGCGACCCTCCGAGGGGCGGGTCGCGCGGACAGGCCCTGATGGGCGCGCTGGGCGGGGCATGCACGCGGGCGGGCGGGCTTCCAAGCAGGCGAACGGGTGGACCCTATGACGGACAGGCTGGGCCGGCGGCCCCTGTGGGGCGGATCGGGGGGGTGGGCCCCAACCTGCGGGTCGGGTCACTGGAGCGAGCCGTGCACAGTGTGAAACAGTCTGAGGCGAGAACACGATTCTGGAGTGAGTCGTGTGGAGTCTCCGGGGAAACCAGTATCTGCCGGTACCAGTATACTCCCTGGACCTCTCCCGGGGTGCGCTCTGACCAAGCAGTCGAGGCGAATCCAGCAGAGGGCCACGAGGGCCTCCCAAGAGGCCCACAAAAAATGCGAAGGCGGAGCAAGGGGGGCCTTCTCCTCCCCCCGAGTCTCGTGCGAGAGCGCGCGCTCGCGGCGCCCGGGGCGCAGCGCCTGCGCAAAGGACTCACGCGAGGGCCACCTCTCCGTCCTCCGCGGCCGCTCGCGGCGCCTCGGGACCCGCCCGGGGAAGGCTGCGGGCGAGGGCGCAGCCTCTGCAGAGCGCACCCCCCGAGGCAGGCAGGGCCTCTGGGAGCCGACGCCGGCGCGCGCGCGGCGAGGAGAGGGCCCACGGGCGCGCGCCCAGCGCCCTCAAAGCGGGAGGCGCAGCTGGCCAGAGCACGCCCCGGGGCGGGGAGAGGCCCGGAGCTGGCGAGGCCTCCGGAGGGCCCTGCAGCGCTCGGGGCCCAGACCCCTTGCCGTCGTGTCCTCTGTGGTGTCCCCTCGCAGCGTCGGCACCCAAGAGAGCCCTCGGCCCAGCCCCGGGGGCCCGCCGTGCCGTCCTGGATCGTCTCTGCTGGTCCTGGGGCCCAGCCGGGGCCCCTGGAGGCCGAGGAGATCAAACAGCAACAACAACAACAACAACAACAACAACAACAACAACAACAACAACAACAACAACAACAACAACAACAACACCAACACCAACAACAACAACAACAACAACAACAACAACAACAACAACAACAACAACAACAACAACAACAACAACAACAACAACAACAACAACACCAACACCAACAACAACAGCAACAACAACAACAACAACAGCAGCAGCAGCAACAACAACAGCAACAGCAACAGCAACAGCAACAGCAACAACAACAACAGCAGCAGCAACAACAGCAGCAACAACAACAACAACATCCAAAAACACGTTGGTCTCCCCACGCGTGTCATTCAACACGTGCACCGTATATCCAAAACCTCTGTACGCACCAGCCCTCGTCATCTTCGAGTGTAACCCTTCTGGGTGGTCAAGCTTCCTTGCCTGCCACGTGTAGCTGGCGTGGCCCCTCAGAAAGGAAATGGAAAAAGGAACAGGGGACAGAGCGAGGAGAGGAGGAGAACGCGAGAAGGGAGGGGACAAGAGGGAGGGAGGAGGACCGAGGACGCCCAGAAAGTTAGCAGGGGGGACACTTGCTTCACGACACGGGGGGGGGGGGGGAACTAAGACGAAGCCAGGACGAGGATCAAATCGGGACAGGATAAATCGAGAATCTCTGACATCCCGCAAATCTGGAGGATGTTTCGGGCGACGCGGCCTTCTCAGAGCGCCCCGGAACGGTCTGAGATCGTTCCGGAACGCTCTGGAACGGATTTATCCTCGCCCTGGCCCCGTCCGAAAAGCACCCCGAGGCTTGGACGCCCGAATTGTCTGGTCTGGGGCTGCTCTGGCTCGGCCCCCCCCCCGCGCAGGGACCAGGGGTTACCCCTGCCCGGGTGAATCGGGAGTGTTGAGCGCCCGAGACCATCCGGGGCAACTCCGGTCTGGGGCAACTCTGGCCTTGGGGCCTCCGAGGCACCCTCCGAGGCACGAATCAGGAGCCACCCCTGCCCACCCCCAGCCCCTATCATGATTCGGGGATCTGGTGGGAACGCCCCTGAGATCCGACGGCGCGGACAAAGTGAAACCTCGCGGAGAAAAACACGACCGCAGCCCCAGACCCCATCTTTCCGCGCCATCTTTCGAGCTGGATCGATCCGTGAGGGCCCCAAGGCGCCTGAAACTTGGCGAAAACGCCCGGCTCGAAACTGTTGAGGGCAGGCGCAGCTGCGGGCCCAGACATGCGACGTCCTGATTTTTTCAGCACGGCGTCCCTGGAAGTCCCGACCCTTTTCCCTGGACCGGTTTTTCGTCCTGAATCGTTTTTGACGGCCCCGCGAGGCCCAGCGCGGGCTCCCCGGGGCCGAAAATGGCCCAAAACCTCCCGGTCCTGACTTTTTCACCGCGCGCTCATGTCTGGGGGAGAGACCCCGAGGCGGCAGGCCACCGCGGCCGGCCCCGCCTCGACGAGCGCCCTGCAGGCGGCCCCGCGCCCGCCGGCCGCGCGGGCGCGGCCGAGCGCGAGCGCCAGCGCGGCCCCGGCGAGCGCCGAGCGCGCAGCGGGCGCCCCGCGCCGAGCGGCGCGCGGCCCGGCCCGGGCCATTCGCTTCGGCGCGGGCGCCGGGCCCAGGCAGCCGGCGCCTCGCAGCACAGATCGAGGCGGGTTGTTCTTGTCGTTCCCGCGGGGGGGGGGCAGGGGCAAAGCAAAGCACCGCTGGAGACGCAAGCCTGGGTCTGGGCACCTCGGTGTCGCTCCAGCTTGGGGCCGGCAGAGGCCTCCGAGGGGGGGTCGGAGCAGACGGGGGTCGGAGGGCCGCGCCGCATCGGCGATGCATCGGCGATGCATCGGCGATGCATTGGCGACGTCGGCGATGCGTGGGCGATGTGTCGGCGGCGTCGGCGGGGAGAACATCGGGTTCCACATCGAGCCGCATCGGCGATGCGGCGCGATCCTCCGACCCCATCTACTCCGACCCCATCTAGAAGACCTAGAGGAATCCAACGTCTGGAAACCTGTGTAATTCCAACCAGGGCTTGGCCAGCGGACGTCACAGCCGCCCTCATCGTATAAGGAATCCTCCGGGGGCTGGAGCCTCTCAGGCACCTTCCCTCACCAACACCCCCACCGTAGTGCTCTCGGGATGGCGAACGGGTCCCGGGGAAGTGATCGAGAGGTTGGGGGCTCGCGTCGTTCTCCAGACGCTCCCCACCAAGCCGCAGCGTGTTGGGTTCGGTCAGGCCCCCCCCCGACGCCGTTCCCGACGCCGTTCCCGACGCCCTTCCCGACGCCTTTCCCGACGCCCACGGCCGACCCCGCCGACGCCATTCTCGACGCCCTTACGCCGACGACCCCCCCCCCCGACGCCCTTCCCGACGCCCACACCGGCCCCCCTGTCGCCGCCGTAGTGTCCGTAGGTTCGTCGCGGGTGGCCTTTCCCTCCTGGCCCCTGGCCCCTGGCCCGGCCCTGCTGCTGCTGCTGTTGCTGCGGCTGCTGCTGCTGCTGCTGCTGCTGCTGCTGCTGCTGCTGCTCCTCCTCCTCCAACTCCTCCTCCTCCTCCTCCTCCTCCTCCTCCTCCTCCCCTCCTCCTC